AATTAATACTCCTAAATTAATAGGATGAATCATTGTTGGTGAAATTAATAAAAAAGATATAATGAGTTCACACAGCAACAACAAATAATAAATCATGTGAACACAATTAGCAGGATTAGAAGTGATTAAGACCCCCTCCAATTACTATTCCCACTATCTCCATACATACGTGAGGGTTGGTGATTGGAAAAAAAAAAAAAAATTAGCCAATCACAAGCAAAGGGAGTCGTGGAGTGCCTATGAAGGTCCAAATCATTTTTCTTAACAACATTGTATTTGTATTGTATCGAGTAATGATAGAGACCTTATTTTTAAAGGATCCCACAATCCCTATAGTAATCCACACCATTCATGATATGATAAACATAAATAGTATGAATCACTATAAAAATTGTGAGAATCCTCCAAAAACGGGGTCTCACTCATTCTCCGTATTGTATCATGTTGCAGACATCCTACTATTGCCATAAGACATTGCCAGAAACAGTAAGTGAATTGCCTGTATATATATATACTCTCGTATGCATACCTGGTGGGTCCATTGCCAAAACTATATTTTATTTGAACAATTATATAAAATAAGAAGTTATATGTAATTAATGTAAAAATAGTTTGAAAAAATTAAAAAGTGTTATAAATTCTCCACTAACTCGAGTGAAAACTTTATATAATAATATAGATATGACAACATATTATATCTAATTTTTTTTTGGTGATTTGATGAATAAAGAATATGTGTTGAATTTGATAACCCATAAAAGTTATTTTCTTAAAACAATTAACAATATAGACATTTTTTAAATAAGAAAAGTGTTACTAAACTTTTTTTTTTCTTTTTTTTCTTTAAAACCTTCTAAACTGTGCATTCTATTCAATAGAATCGAAGAAATGCCAGTTATATAAAAATAGAGCAGATAAAAGTATAGAGAAAGTGTAGTATACTATTGTGTAATTAATATTCATTTTAAAATGTAGCGTAAATTACATTCAAAATAAATTTTAATTATAAAACACATTTTTACTTTTTATATTTTAATTTTATGTCAATAATATTTTTTATTTGTGAAGGATTGTATTATTGATTTCTTTAATTAGAGAGCAAATACAATAAATGATTGAGTGCATTAAATATTTGAATAAACGAAATTTATTCTAGACCCTTTTTTTATTGAGCAATATTAAGATCACATAATGGATCATAAAATAGTCGATAAAAAATGTGATAAAAAATTGAAATAAAACTCAATTATGATAGGATTCACATTCAAAATAAATCTCAAATTTTTAATATTTTTTTTTTGTAATTCGTTATATTTTTATACATATGCAAAATGTGGCCGGCATTTAATAATTAATAGAACAAAATAAGGCAGGCTCAACTAAATTCCAAATTGTCAAATCTAAATCAAGTTCTGTAGAGGTTCATCTCTTGTCATGGGTCTCATATCCACAATCACTATCTTTATTTACTATTCTATATTTTTGTTTTTCTTGCTAATCGTATATAATTTTTTGTCCTAACTTTAACAATAATTGTTCTGAAAATTGACATTCAAGATTAAAATTTTACAGGAGAAAATAAGTTCGGAGAGGACTAAGCCTTCATTTGGAAAGAATTTTTTAATTTGATTTTTTTTATTATTTTAGTATAATTAAAAAAATTTCGTTTAGTATGAACTTTTAATTTTTTTTGTAATTTTATAAGAGATAAAATAAAATAATTATAATTTAGATTTAACATTTTATCTTATAAACTTTTTAATTTATTTTGTCTTTTAGTAAGCTAATTTAGTCCAAATCATCTTGGAAAATGGGGCCTAAATACAAGGGTTTCACACAGCAACAACTATTGTGCACCTTATTGGGTCCATTCTAGGGCTAAATTTGATAATCTGAACTATTCACATTTTAAAAGACATCGAGTATAATATATTTGTAAAAAAATCACTTTGTTCAGATATCAATGATCCTTTCATCAATTCATATTGTATCTAAAAAAATAATTAATAAGTATAATTTGAAACATTAAACTACATGCAAATGTGATTTAATGAAAAGATTATCGATATTCGATTAATATGATTTTTTTACAGATATATTTTATAAAATGTCAACGGTTTAAATTATTGAATTAGATCCTAAAATAGACCCAATTAGGTGCACAATAATTGCTTCTATGCTTGGTGCGCAACAGCAATCCCAACTCCTAAATACAAAGTAGAAATGAATGTCTCACCAGGAGTAGAGTTTACATGTGAGACCCATCATTTATAAGACATTCGTGTTTGATCTTGTATATTTTTAACATTGCTCATTTTACAATAGTGGATGACTTTGAAATTGCATTAAATTTGACAGTCAAATTAAAAATGATAATACCACCGAGGTGATTGTGGAGTGAAAATATGCCTTTCTTCTACACAGTTGAGCAGGGCTTAACTTTTGGAGGTGCGACTATCAGCCCGTTTTCAAGTGGTGAAATTGACTGTATTGTACTCCGATCGTGACTTTACCTTCTGTGCTAGGGGTTGGTAAATTCCTCTCTTGCCCCCTGGTAGTGAGTCTTTTCCTTTGGATTAAGTTAAATCTAACTGATAATCAATTATTCCAGAGTCAAGACCTACAATGTTATGATAACTTCATAGAATGTCTTTTTTATAATTAAAAAAAAAAAATTGGAAATGGCATGTAAACACAACTCATTGCATTTTGGATATGAAACACACTAGATTTAAACTGGACTCAGAGAGGTCTTTTGGGAAGAGGGTAAAAAGCCAATTTTTAGCTTTTTCTTCATTTTGGGTCATATCACATTTCATATTTTTTACCTACAAAAAACAAAATAGACTTAAAAAAGCTAAAAAAATTATTTTTACTAATTTCCCAAAACACTTCTCTATGTGTAGCCCTTCGATTTGATATTTTTACTATTTTTGGAAATTTTGTTTTAGTAAAAACTTTATTTAAGAATTAATGTGTGCACATTTTCCTTAAAAGATGTTTATAAAGTGCAATTAAACCTTTAAAAATGGAGTAATTTTTATATGTGAATAAGGTATATGTTATGTGATATTTTTTATTATTATGATTGATTTTGATAATATGATCCACTATATTTATGTTGGGTGTTTGAGAAACCATTAAAGGTATCAACAATGATTGAGACTCCCTTTTTTTTTAGACCCTCGTAACCCCCTTTAAATCTCAACCATTGATGGTGTGGGCCCCACACATACATGAGTGGGTCCTATACATACATCAACGATTGAGATCTAAAGGGGATTGTGGGGGTCTCCAAAAAAATGGAGTTCCAAGCATTTTTCTAAGGGTATATACATTTTTTATTAGTGAAAGATAATAGTGTCATGTGATACCTTATTAACATATAAAAATTTATTCTTAAAAAGTGTTTAATGTCCTTTTAGGGACACCTCAAATAAGTTATTTATTAAGGTTTCGTTTGAAATGTGAGTTTTATTTTTTTATTTTTTAACTATTTTATTTTAGTTTAGAATTAAAAAGTTTCGTTTTGAATAAATTTTTTAATTTTTTAAATTTTTGTAAGAAAAAATAAAATGACTATGCAACTGTGTTATTTTTAAATTGAGACGAAAAAATCTATTCCGTGTTTTTGTAATTATTTTAGCCTAAGCCCACCCAATTCATCATGCCAAATCAATGCTAACTTATTTTTATCACGTCACATGGGGTATTTATTTTTTTACACGTTTTTTTATAATAAATAAAAAATAAAAAATTACATCATGCCAAAAATATCCTGAAACATCAGTGAAATTAGTTTGTTATTATTTTTTAGTATACTTATTTTTATTTTTATGTTTTAGTAGCTTGAAAACTATTTTTTTTAAAGATTGTTTTTGCCTAGTGTTTTTTTAAGATGAAAAAAAAAGAAAAAGAAAAAAAAATGGAAAGTTAAAAAAATAATTTTCATCTCATGAAAGTACAAGTTATTTATACACTTGATTGTGCAAATAAGTATTATACTTTTATGAATTTATAATTATTTTTTATATTTTTAATTTTTTTGATGTTTTTTCTTTTTTAAATTGTGTCTAATGTGTTTTTATTTTTATGTCCATCTAGATTAGATAACCTGAAAAAAGTCATAAATCTTTTTAACCTGAAAAAAGTCATATTTCTTTTTCTTTTTTTTAAAAAAAAAAATCAATTAGAAAACGTAATAAGCAATAACCTAGGTAAAAAATTCCATTGAAATCAACTTATTTTAATATTTATTAGTATACTTTTTATTTTATTTTATTTAATAAATATATTAAAAATTTCAAATAAATTATCAAATATTGATATGAATTCATGCGTTATTGTGTAAAATATTTAATAATCTCTCACATTGCTTACAAATATCCTGATTTTATTTTAATTTTTATAAGAAAATATTTAATAATTAATTTGAATAATATAACTTATTCTAGAATTCATTCATTTAGTGATATTTTAAAAAGTTGATAAAAAGTTAATTTTTAAATTTTTTAACTAAAAAAACTAATTTTTTGGATTATAATTTGAGTTAAAAAAACTAATTTTTTGGATTATAATTTGAGTTAAAAAAACTAATTTTTTTTGACTAAAAAAGTTAGGAGTTAACTTTTTGCGAGCTTGTCAAACCAATCCTTAGTAATTCATAAAATCAATTTAAAAGGTGGTTTGAGATGATTTAAATAAGTGTATTTTTTGACTTTTTATAAAATATGAATTGAATATAAATTGAGTTTGAATTGATGTAATAAAGAAATGATATGATTTAAATAGATTAATAATTTTTTAATTTTTTTAAAGGAGGTGAAACAAGGCCTAAATTTATATAAGGGGTAGCCATACAACGTACAGGGTTTTTTTAAATACAAAATAGGGTTTTATTGGGGGTGGAGGTGGGCCCCCACGAAGAGAGTGGTAACGAGCTGGCAAATGCGACTCTGGCACTCTCCACTCCTTCTCTCCCCTCCCCTCATATACATCATCTCCGCCACGCCCAATTCACCGTACTCTCTCTCTCTCTCTCTCTCTCTCTACAATTCTGTCTCTCTCTCTCTCTCTCTCTGTGGTTTGATCAAGTTAAGATATGGCTGACGAAACCCAGAAACCGGCGGCTCCGGAGACTTCGGTGCAAGTAACTGAGGAAGTAGTGGTTGTTTCTGACGTCCCTGTGGCCGAGAAAGAGCTTCCTCCCGCTCCGGAACCCGAACCCGAACCCGAGGCTACTCCGGAGAAACCTCCTGCTGCTGCTGCTGCGGCGGAGGAAGAAGTGGTGGAGGCCGAGAAGTCGAAACCGGCGGCGGAGGAAGAGAAGATCACTGAATCGGCTTCTTTTAAGGAGGAGACCAACGTTGTTGGTGAACTCCCTGACCCACAAAAGAAAGCCCTCGATGAGTTGAAACAACTCGTTCAAGAAGCCCTCAACAAGCATGAATTCACAGCTCTACCGCCTCCGCCTCCGCCCCCTGCGGTGGTTGAGGAAGAAAAGAAGGCCGAGGAGGCTGCTCCGGAGACCCCCGCTCCTGAAGAACCCTCGAAACCCGAAGAAGTCCCTGCCGCGACTTCTGCTCCGGCGGAAGAAGTGGCGGCGCCACCCAAGGAAGTGGTTGTTGCTGTTGCTGAAGTGGTTGAGAAAGTCACCGCCGTCATCGACGACGATGGTGCCAAAACTGTCGAAGCAATCGAAGAAACAATCGTCGCCGTCTCTGCTCCGGCTCCTCCGCCGGAAGAAGCCGCCGTCGCCACGGAGGCTCCACCGGAGGAGCCAAAAGAAGAAGAATCAGCACCGCCGCTTCCGCCGCCACCACCCGAGGAGGTCTCTATCTATGGAATTCCTCTTCTGGCTGACGAGAGGAGCGATGTCATACTCCTGAAATTCCTGAGAGCCAGGGATTTCAAGGTCAAAGAAGCCTTCACCATGTTGAAGAACACCGTCCTCTGGCGCAAAGATTTCGGAATCGAGTCCCTGGTTGAAGAAGATCTGGGGACTGAGCTCGATAAGGTGGTTTTCATGCATGGATTCGACAAAGAAGGACACCCAGTTTGCTACAACGCTTATGGGGAGTTTCAGAACAAGGATTTGTATCACAACACCTTTTCTGATGAAGAAAAGAGACAGAAGTTCATCCGATGGAGGATTCAGTTCTTGGAGAAGAGCATCAGGAAGCTTGATTTCAGCCCAGATGGGATATGCACTTTTGTTCAGGTCAATGATCTCAAGAACTCTCCAGGACCCTTCAAGAGGGAGCTCAGAACATCCACCAATCAAGCCCTCCAATTGCTTCAGGATAATTACCCTGAGTTTGTCGCCAAACAGGTATGATTAATTTGCTTCAATTCATTATATAATTTTATTTTTTGTATTGTATTTTTCATGGATTTCAAATTTTGTTCAACAATTTAGACTAAAAGCTTGATTTTTTAATCGAATTTTCATGAAATCTTTTTTTTTTTAAAACCTAAACTATTCCAAAACCCTCTTTTAACCCATTCAGGTGGAAGAAAAACCATCTCCAATCCTTCATCTTTTAACAGTTTCATCAAACTTGAATGAAAAAAGGGTTGTTGGGGAAATTTAGTGAAATATTTTTTTTATTCGTACCCGATTTAATGAAATATTCGGTTAAAACTTGATTGGATACATGTTTCATGAGAGGATTGAATTTGATGAAGGATTGTGAATGCTCTTCTTTCCTGATGGTGTTATTAATCTGATCAATATTGTTTCATGCTGGTACTTTGCATGGACATGTATATTTGTGTTGTGGCTGTCTTGGTATTAATTGATGGAAAATATAGATGTTCCTGCTTTTTGATGGTGCAGAGGTGTTAAATGAATTTTCCTAGAATGGTACTTTGCATGCATTTATTGGTTTCTTTTGGGTATTAATTTGGGGCTTTTGTTTTGAGTGGTATTTAAAGATGTTCATCAATGTTCCATGGTGGTACCTGGCCTTCTATAGAATGATCAGTCCTTTCTTCACCCAAAGGACCAAGAGCAAGTTTGTGTTTGCAGGCCCTTCCAAATCTACTGAAACCCTCTTCAAGTTAGTAATTTCTTGTTTTTCTTTTTCTTTGCTTAATATGGATCTTCTCTCTTATGCATATATCTCATTCTGGTGTGTGTTTTGATGATGATGATGATGATGATACAAAAATAATCAGATACACCGCGCCTGAACAAGTACCAGTACAGTATGGGGGGCTTAGCAGGGACGGCGAACAAGAATTCACCACTGCTGATGTTGTCACAGAGGAGACTATCAAGCCCGCAAGCAAACACACCGTTGAATTCCCAGTTTCTGAGGTGGGCCTGCATGCCTTTCCGATTTCAATCAATATCAGTGCAAATGAGCTTTAATTTTTCTGGGCATCGTTAGAAAATATATAAATATGTTTTGTAATTGCAATTGTAATTTGTTTCTTGGATTTGCAGGCTTGTACTTTGGTTTGGGAAGTGAGAGTGATTGGATGGGATGTGTGCTATGGAGCTGAATTTGTGCCTGGTTCTGAAGGCGGATACACGGTGATTATACAGAAGTCGAGGAAGATTGTACCAGCCGACGAAACCGTGGTCTCTGGAAGCTTCAAGATTGGGGAAAGTGGGAAAGTTGTGCTCACATTTAACAACCAAACCTCAAAGAAGAAGAAGCTACTCTACAGGTCCAAGACCAAGCCTTCTTCTGATTAAAGAGCTCAAGAATTAGCTTTGGCTTTGCTGGTATTTCAAATTCCTATTCACTCAGAACAAAAGGGAAAGGAGAGAAGCCATTGAAATGCAGGAATAAGGGGTTCTTTTGATATTTTGAAAATGTTTCATTTCTTTCTTTCTTTCTTTCTTTTATTGGTTGAAATTAATTTTAATTTGAAAAAATTTTAAAAGTGTTGGGGATTTTATTTATATAAATATTTGTTTGGGGATTTTTCTTTCTTTTTTGGTTTTTAGTTTGGTTTGTATTTGAAATATCAAAGTTGAGAACAATTTGGATGTGGATGGAAGATATTTTGAGATAATATATATATAGAGAGAGAAGGAAAGGGGGGTGGAGATGTGTGGCGTCACATTTGGCTTGTGGATATGAACATTGTTAGCATTTGTTTATACTCTTTTGGGCTGGGCCTGAATGTAAAAGTTGTGAAAATTTGGTGATGTCTTTTACCTTATCTTTCATCTTTTGTGGATGTTAATGTTAAGAAGTCATTTGTTCGTTAATTTTGTCTCATTTGGTTTTGGGTTTTGCCAAATTTCCAAATGCTCCTGTCGCTGTCTGGCCGTCAGCCGTCTCCCGCGCCATGGAATTTTTTTTATTTTTAAGGCCTCGTTTGGCAAGAGGCTATTTTAGTCAATTAGTCAAAAAATTATTAAATTAGTCAAAAAGTCAACAACCCATACTAAAATGTTAAAGATTCTCTTTTCTCTCTACTTTTTGTACATCTTTTCGTAATTAGTCAAAAAGTCATTTCAAACATACAAGTTTTTTTTGCTTATCTTTTTAACCAAATAGTCAAAAAATTATTAAATTAGTCTGTTTCCAAACGAGGCCTAAATCTCAAATTTGTTTCTTTCAAAGTCTCACAATTGTTAAATTATGACCTTATTTGAGATGTTTGATTGTTTTAGTAATTTATTTTAATTTTTGATTTTTAATAGGTTGAGATTTTTGTGTTTGAAAAGATAGTTAAATTTTAGGCGAATTACATTAATAGTTTTTATAGTTTGAGATTTGTGTCATTTTGATTCTTGACTTTTTAATTGTAATATATTTGATCTTGAATTTTGCATCTTGTTTTAAATAAGGACAATTGAAGATACCATTGCTTAACTTTTAAGGGCAAAATTGTTAATTTGATAAAAGTAATGTCAAAAACATATTTTTGAATTTTTAAAAATTATTTTTGTCCACCAAAGATAAAATTATGTAAAATTAATAAATTTTTTAGATATATTTTTGTTTTATTAAAATAATTCTTGTTATGTATTTGGATAATAATCATGTAATGGGTGGATGTTGGGATTTTAATGTGTAATCGATATATTTAATATATAAAATATTTTCAGTTTTGGATTTTTAATTTAATAGATTGATTTAATAATGATATCAAAGTTGTCGTCATATTTGACTTTTGGAAAAATAGAAATTAATTTAATGAAAATAAAAATAACCACATGGATAATAATCATGTAATGGGTGGATGTTGGGATTTTAATGTATAATCGATATATTTAATATATAAAATATTTTTAGTTTTGGATTTTTTTGATTTAATGGACTAGTTTAATAATGATATCAAAATTATCGTCATATTTGACTTTCGAAAAAATAGAAACTAATTTAATGAAAATAAATACAACTATCTATTACATGATCATCATAGAAACACATAATAAAAATTAATTTGATAAAATAAATAAATGTTTAAAAGATTTATCAAATTTACATAATTTTATCTTTAGTGAGTTCAAATAATTTTTAGACATTCAAAAATATTTTGACACTTATTTTTGTCAAATTAATTTATATTTTACCAAATTGACGATTTTGCCCTTAAAATTAAACAACGATATCTTCAATTGTCTTTATTTGTAACAAGATTCAAAATTTAGTGTCAAATATGTCACAATTGAAAAGTCAGGAACCAAAGTGACACAAGTCCCAAACTATAGGGACCATTAGTATAATTCGCCTTTAAATTTTTTAGAGCTTAATGTGATATTTATAAAAGAAAAAGTAAAATGATTATGAATTTGATGTGATATTTTAATTAATTAGTTATTTTAGTTTTCTTTTTTTAGTCAAAAATCTTTCAAATTTAACTTGTCAAATAGTGCCTATATTTTTAAATTTTTTATATCTTGAGATTTTTATGTAGTTTAATTTAATAATTGCAAGTGTGTTTTAAGCTAGAAAAAAAATATACTTGGCATTCTCTTTCTTTCTTTCTTTTTTTTTTTTTGTCATAAATTTAAAATATGTTTTTGGTGATAAATTATTCAATGTTCTTGGAATAAGTTTAGCCAAATTTAGATAGTGTTTTAAAATCCAAATTTTAAATTATTGGACCTTTCACTTTTGCGTTGGAATATATAAGGTCGAATAATAAATAAAATGGAATATGACTTCAACGAAATAATTTCTTTGAATTATTTTAGCCTTCTAGTGTTGAGTTAACCATAAGATATGTTTTGTTTTGTTTATATATATTATTGTTGACGTATGTCTTTGAAGTATATGTTAAAAAGATTTTTTATTCTTTATTACATTACTTGAGAAGAAATTATTTAACCAACATAATTGCCAACATAAATTTTTTTGAACAAATTACTCTTAAAAAGATGTTCAAAAGTTCAACTCACCATATTGACCAAATAACCAACATAAATTCCATAAATTTAAGAGATATTGTCGTTTTGATTAAATAATCAATAATTACATGAGGTAAAAGATGAATAATTTCATTACACGTATACTTCATTATTTTGAAAATTCAAAACTCTAAAAAAATAAAGGGCAAATTACATATACACCCCTCCAGGTTTGACAAAATTACAGATACCCCCTGAGGTTTGAGAAATTACGAATTCCCCCCTGAATGCTATATTTGCATAAGAAATTAGGGGGTAATTTGTTATGAAATATAAACCTCAGGGGGTAAATTGTTATGAAAATACAAACCTCAGGGGGCGGGATGTAATTTCCGAAACCTCAGGGGGGTATCTGTAATTTAACCAAACCTGGAGGGGTGTATATGTAATTTGCCCAAAAATAAATGGTCTAGTTTGTCTCCAATTGGAGATTAAAATTGGACCATCCAGTCTGGCTCACAAGCTCATTTTTGGGCCCCTCTTCGATAATTCGAACCGTTTAATATGTAGAACTTGTCGAGTACTATATTCTTGTAAAAAATCACATTGATTGGATATCGATAGTTATTTGATTAGATCAGTTTTGTATAAAAAAAAAGAACAGTAAAAAAATAAACGGTTGATAGAAATCTTATCCGATCAAATAGCTATTAATATTCGATCAATGTGATTTTTTACAAGAATATAGTACTCAACGAGTTTTACATATTGAACGGTTCAAATTATCGAAGAGGGGCCGAAAAATGGGCCTGCAGGCCGGACTGGACGGTCCAGTCTTGATTTCCAATTAGAGACAAGCTAGTCCCCAAAATAAATTTGATCACATATTTATTTTATTTTTATAGTTGTTGAATTGATCTCAATAATTCACATATGTAACTTATTTAGGGAAAATTGGTCTAGGGTCCCTCTCCCACTTTTCATAATGGAAGAAATCCACAAAATTATTTTTTGATGTCTAAGGTCCCTAAACATATATCAAAGAAATTTCACTCTGTCTCTACTCTACTCTCTCTCTCTCTTCTCCTCTCACCCACTGTCTTGCAGATCCTCCCTCCGATCTACCACCGTCGCCGACCACCACTACCACTATCAAAGCCTGCCAATCCACCCATCCTCGTCCCGGGCATTGGATTCACCTCGGTCGGTGGATTTTTTGGGTTTCGTATTCCAGCACGAATTCAGGGTGAAGATGAGGAGCACGACGGCATTTCCGACAAGCCGTCCTCTGCTTCCTCTGATTCGTACCATTGATTTGAGCTCGAAAACCAAATCAATCTCTCTCTATCAGGTGAATATTCAATACTCATTTCTCTATTTCATTCAATTTTCCATGTATAGTCTACTGTTACAATGAATTTCTGTTTCAGTACTCAATCATCAACCCATTGGAGCAACCAAGAATCAGCTGTTATCACTATTTCAGAGAGAGAGAGAGAGAGAGTTTGGTCAGTTTAATCCAATGGCTGCTCGTTACCGTGGGAAGAAAAAATCTGAGTGTGTTTTCAGGTTTTTCAATCCCAGTGTGCTTTCTATTTTGATTTTTTTAAAAGTATATACACAAACTGGTTCTTATATACACATCCAACCCAGAGAAAATTCAAATTTCTCTGGGTTCAATCCAGAGAAAATTCAGTCCAACAGCCCAAAGAAAATTTAGACCAACCAAACCAGAGAATTTTGTAACTTGTTGCTGAGAGCAGGCTATCAATGTTTGAGGACATAGGAAACCTTAGCAGGGATTTGATAATGGAAAGTATGTATATAATATTGTACTGTTGCCTTTCTTCCTCATTTTTGAGAAGCAAGGAAGTCAGTTGAGGTAGGGGAATTCTCATGTTCAAAAAAAAAAAGGGCAGAGAAATTTACAGTGGGAAGTTTAGGGAAGTCTAGAGAAATTTTGGAAAGTCCAGAGAAATTCTTCCCAAAATTTCTCTGGACCAATTTTCTCTGATTTGAATTTTCTCTGGATCAATTTTCTCTGGATTGATGTTGAGGGACCTTAGACATCATTAAAATATTTTGATATCCTTTCTACTATAAAATCATAATATCAGGGACCTTAAAAAAAATACCCCATTTATTTATAGTGGTTGGTAGATAAACAAAAAATTAGAAAAAAAAAAAAAACTTTCTTTTGATAGAAAATGAAGCGAACCCTACCTTCTCTGTAGTCATCATGGAAGGGAATTAATGGTGGTTAGCAATTCACATCTTCAATACCCACAAATAATTCCTCACATCCCAACCTTTTCTGTATTATATGATCTCACCCAAAAAAAAATAAATTAATTAATTAATAAATAAATAAATAGTAAAACTTTTTGTATTGTATTGTTTTATTGTAGACATGCCAATGGCAGGCTTTTCCCTCTAAAACAGCATAGGCAAATATACATATACATAGAATACATATCTGTCAAGCACTCTCTGCAGAGATAAAGATTAAAGAGAAAGCAAAAGATATACCAACTTTAAATAGAGACAGGGAGAAGGTGAAGAAAATATGTGATGCACTTTGTCAAAAAAAAAATTGAAAAGATAAAGCAAAACACAACCTCTGTTGCAGTTGCGCTGTCTCTTTTTGAAATTTGTCTCGTCTTTTCTTTTCAGTCCTCTTCATTCTTAAAGTTTTATTTTTATTTTTTTGTTTTTTGTTTTAGGCTAAATGGTTTTGATTTGAATAAATTACGTTAATTTCTTTTTGATGAGATTATCCGACCATTCTTAGAATAACGATAATTTTAACGATGTTAATGAATGTGATAAAATTATTAAATTATTTATTTACTTTTAGATATTTGGCTTTTGTATAGGTATTGAATACAAATGACAACCTATTTAATTAT